GGCGACGAGGCCGCGGAAGGGCGGTGACGGGGCCGCTGAAGGGCGACGACGGGGCTGCTGAAGGGCGGGGACGGGGCCGCTGAAAGGGCGGGCGGCGACGGGGCCGCTGAAAGGGCGGCGACGGGGCCGCTGAAAGGGCAGCGACGGGGCCGCGGACGGGCGGCGACGGGGCCGCTGGAGGGCGGCGACGGGGCCGTGGAAGGTCGGCGTCGGGGCCGCTGAGGGGCGGCGACGGGGCCGCGGAAGGGCGGCGTCGGGGCCACGAAAGTGCGGAGACGGGGCCGCTGCAAGGGCGGGCGGCGAGGCCGTGAAGGGGGGCGACGGGGCCGCTGAAAGGGCGGCGACGGGGCCGCGGAAAGGGCGGCGACGAGGCCGCTGAAAGGGCGGCGACGGGGCCGCGGAAAGGGGGCCGCAAGGGCGGTGCGAAGAGAGCCGCAAGGGCGGCGCGACGGGGCCGTGAGGACAGCGCGACGGGGCCACTAGGGGCCGTGAGGGAGGCCGCTAGAGGCCACGAAGGGGAGTCACACGGGGCGCGACTCGAGGAGGGGCCAAGTGCACTCCGGGCAGGAAAAAAAAAAGGTCGGTGGGCCCTAGGAGCAGTTCCCACGGGGGAACCTGCTCTATACCATGTGAATATTAGAACGAGAATGATTGAACTATGAAATAGTTGGGTACAAGTACTAACCCTAATTGGGTTGTACCCCTTATGGGCTACCCCACTACAGCCTACACAGATGTATAAGCTAAAATGTTATGACAAGAGCGAGATGAAGGAGTGGAAAAGACAGCAGTACAGAAGCACTCGAGAGAATCGATCGACGTCAATCCATTGCGGTGGCGGCCAAGAAGAAAGAGATGGCGGGGGAGTATGTTAGTCAGAAAGTTAGCAGCCTGGTCCGTGGTGCTGCAGTAGGCCGGTGTCACAACTTTGTTCTTAATCAGCTCCCGAATGTAGTGATACTGGGTATCAATGTGCTTTGTGCATCCATGAAAGGCCGGGTTTTTTCTCAAGGCGATCGCCAATGTGTTAACAATGTGCAGAATGGTCGGCTCATGTTGGGGAAGATCCAACTCTGTCAGCAACCCTTGCAACCACACAGCCTCTCTTGCTCCTTGCATCACAGTCATATACTCTGCCTCCGTTGAAGATAATGCCACACAACCTTGCTTCTTCGATTGCCAAGAAATAGCTGCTCCCGCTATCACAAACATGTAGCGTCCAGTGGAATTCCGCTTTGTAAGAGGACCTTCCCGATACACATCCGTGAAACCATGCAAGACACTACCATGCTCTTGTCCATGAAAGAAGAGACCAAAAGATTTAGAGCCGGAGAGGTAGCGCAGGAGACGCTTTGCATCATTCAAGTGCTAAGTAGATGGCGAGGAAAGGAATTGAAAAATTTAACATGTTTCCTCTCTCACACGAACAGTCACAAAACTGTTCGCGCTACTACATGTAACTTATGCGAAGGGATACATGCTACAGTAACATTCACCTATGATAATACTACGATACTACTATAGTGATTTACTATTCAAACTATTGAATTCCATAAATCAATTTATTTACTCCAACACTCTCTTTTGAAGTTCGATGTTGCTGGTGTTGTTTATGATGTGGCAGAGTCTAGTCAGCAACATGGAGTAGTGAGACTTCGGTCGAGGTAGTCGCTTGGTCAAGAAATCTGCGGCAATTTCGCTCAAAGGACAGTATGCAAGCCGTACCTAACTTGTCTTGTTCGATTTCGTCATTCACGAAGAAGTAGCATGACGAAGAAGTAGCGTAGCAAAATGCGTTTCGTTCGGTTGGCATAACCAGCAATGCGAATTGCGGACGATTTTCAGAGGAGTTAGAACTGCGGCACATCCAGTAAGTTTGTTTCACTTAGTAACTCGCAATGGTTAAGACCCTCCTTTGTTGCGTTGGAGGCAGTGATGAACTCTCTATCTGCCGACAAACGAGCAATCATCTTCTGCTTTGACGACTGCTAAGAGATTGTGCCAACATGCTCCAGGCAAAATATATATACTGTACGTGAACGCTTGTTTGCAGTATCACCCGTGCTATCTGCATGTACGTAGCAGAGTAGTGAAAGCGGCGACGACGGGGACTTATGGTAGGTTAGTCCGATTGTAGGCGTGGACACGGAGTAGGAGAGTGCTGCTTCAAGCTTTTGTAGATTCTCCCCTTGAGGTCGTTTAAGGTATTGAGCAATCTTGCTAGCAGAGTATGATAAATCCAGACGACAGGTGACGGCAACAAATCAGAGAATGCCGAGTAGCTGCTAATAGCGTTTGACACCATTGGTGGATAAGACCACAGGTAGATGAAGTAGAACGATACAGAATAGAAGTCGTAGTGGTCGTCAAAGGAAAGCGCGTGTGAAGCTTCTCCGCATATTTTTCAGCTGTGAGCTGAATAGAGGTAGGCGTCTTGGTGATGTTGAGACCGAGATATTGCATTACCGTAATAGAGATAGTCAACGTGAGATCCTTGTCAGAATCCCAACCACTAGACTAATGGGATAAAAGGGCTTGTTTGTGTAGCGGGTAAGTGCGCCCATAACCCCCCAGGCCAACGTGCCTGTAACCCTTCCCTAGGATCAGTCGGGGATCACCAGTGGACCTCTGACACCCCCCCGCACTGGGATGCCCGAAGTGCACACACCGAGATTCGAACCCGAGACCTTCGCTCTGATACCATGTCAGAATCCCAACCACTAGACCATTGGGATAAAAGGGCTTGTTTGTGTAGCGGGTAAGTGCGCCCATAATCCCCCAAGCCAACGTGCATGTAACCCTTCCCTAGGATCAATCGGGGATCACCAGTGGACCTCTGACAATCCTTCCGCAGCTCCCCTTCAAAATGAGTCAGAATTGTGGCGGTGCTTTTGATGTAAAGTAAGTCGTCAACATTGACGACGAGTAGCACGAAGGAGTTGTCACGATCAAGACGGTACATTCCGCGATCATGTGGGAGTTGAGGAAAGCCGATGCAAAAGAGATGGTTGTGAAGATGTTGCTGTCAGAGACGTGGTGCTTGTTTTATCCCGTAGATAGCGTAAATAAATGCCATTGACACATTGATCTGGCGAAGCTTTAGACCCAATACGGCTGCAAAGGAGAGTAGAATACAAAGTGACATGTGACGTCTAATAGGAGCAAACGTCTTGCCTTAGTCAATGCCTTGCTTTTGATAGAAACCACAAATGACCTATCAAACCTTGAATCGTTCAATTTTACTATTGGTGTTGGTGTTAATCCTTAAGACCCATTTTCCATATAGGACGTTCTGGTTAGGAACGGTCGAAAAAGGGATTATAACACATGTGCTGTTGTCGTGCAGCGCCTTCAGCTCCTTGTCTATGGCTTCGCACCATTGCTGACGATGAGGCCCCTTGTCGTGAATCCTCCTCTACAAACACTCGGTCCTTACTTTCCCTTAAATATCTGGCTGCCTTTCTCTCTCCTTCCTTTTCTGTTTCTCGTACAAGAACAAGCACCTCAAACACGTCTGCTATCAGTGCGGTATTCTTGCTTGGTGACGCTCGCGCTTCCACCCATTTGCTCGTGTGCGCGACCATCACTAAAATGTACGGCTTCCCTCCCTTCGACAACAGTAGCTCTCCCGCAAAGTCCAGCGATCACCTGTAACCCAGCCTTCTAATTTGTAGCGCTTGTAGCTCATCCCTCTCCTTCTCAAACTTGCTTTATTCCTTTGGCATGCCTCGCAGCTGGCCACAAGACCTGCCACACCTTTCCCCATGTTGGCCCACCAATACATGGTGCTCAGCAGCTGCCGCGTTCTTGCTATGTCGTTATGCCCAACTTCACATGAACTTTCCCCATAATCTTTCCTCTCTCTTGCGACTGTGGTACCACTCTCCAGCGTTCCTTTGTTCTTAGCTGCAGTTGCTCCCGTAACCACCTGTAAATGCTGCCCTCTGGCCCTTACCCTCTCACTTATTCCTTCTTCTTCTAAAGGCTCGCCTTTGATCTAGATCATAGCCTCCTCATCTTCCGAGATATTCACCAGCCGCTTCTCTCCATTCTCCTGCCCCTAGGTTACAGCCGCTACCTGACGATTGGCGTGTGCACGATGCGTTCCACGTCAGCCTTCTGGAGCCCTTTGTTGCTGCCATGACAGACATTGCCCGCTAAAACGCTGCTCTATCAGCACAACCTATACCTGAACCAATGCTTGACCTGTCGAAGATTTTGGGGCATCTCGTACGACTTGACGCAACATGGCGCCACGTGGATCTTCTACACCAGCGACCAGATTGACCGCACCAGCGAGGACAACACTTGGGTGCCATCCGCCTTGCGCGATTACCACCTAGCCCGCAGGCATGTCAGTGTCACGGATGTTGACCACTTTTCTTAGGGGGAGAGGGGGGGAAGGGGGGGGGGGGGGGGGTGTAGTGCAACCCTTTTTCGCGTACAACCCCCACTTTTCGAACGTGCACGTTCGGTCTTGTTGCCAAAACAACATCGCGTTGTGTTTGGTGTCCCTTAGCCAACCGGCACCCATCGTCACGTTCCCAAGGCTCCCGCCTAGCTAGGTTGACCCGCTCTATAATCACAGCATCGTCAATTCATAGTGTCACAGCTTCGTTATTCGTTTTTTCACGAAACTCCGTTTGATAACTCATAACAGTTGCGATACTGAGTTTGCATACAATGTGATATGCCCCCTACCGCATGATGATGGCTGGTACTTTTCACCTAAGTTAGGCCTGTGAATCCAAACTTCCAGTCATTTCTGCTCTTCCCCCCTGCCACGTTCCACAAACCCCTTTATGTTGCTCCCGTAGTTTTTTCAAACATCAGCCCTTCCAGCCACACCATGCGCAGATTTGCACGACCATAATATACCATCAGTTCCATTCAGCAGACTTCAGTTCTGTTTTGGAAACAAGTAAGGCGAGTCATTCGACCCATGTTAACACTGGCACCAGTGCAACCAGCACTCAGCGGCACACAGCCATGGTCGCCCTTCAAGAGGAGGAATCGCCCTCCGAAAAAACAAATCCAATCTCCAGGAGCCTGCAGATTCGCTGCAGTGCCTTCTTCCCCTTGAACGGCTGCTGTGCCATGGCCTTCTGCGCCTTCACCCACTGGCTCAGCCGCGCCAAGTCCTGCGCCCGCCTCAGCCTCCCTCCTCCCTGCTGCTGCCCACCACTGCTGCCTCCACCACTGCTGCTAACGCCACCGCCACTGATACCAGCAGCAGCAGCAGCAGCAGCAGCAACAGCACCAGCAGCAGCAGCTCCTCCTGCTGTCCCCCCTCCTCCTCCCCCTCCCCCTGCCCCTGCTCCAGCACTGGCACCATCACCAGCAGCAGCAGCAGCAGCAGCAGCAGCAGCAGAAGCAGCAGCAGCAGAAGCGGCGGTGGGAGGAGGGGGAGTGTTAGCGTGTGGCGCGTTGGAGACGTTGAGGTGGCCGTAGTCGAGCTTGAATTCCACGAGAGCCGCAAAGTTCTCCTCCCACCGTGCATCCTCCAGATTGATCGTCACGTTCAGCTGCTGCAACTCCTCCTGTCATCGCCATAGGGGGAGAAAAGGGGGGGGTTAAGGGGTGTGGGGGCGGTGAAGGGGGAGAGAGGGGTTGGGGGGTTGGAGAGGAGAATAGGATGAGTAAGTGGAGGAGAAGGTGAGAAGGAGGAGGAGATGGAGGGGAGAGGGAAGGGGGAGGGGAAGGAGAGGAAAGGAGGGAATAGCACAGAGTAGGGGATGTAAGGGCGAGGAGAGTTGGACTGGAGGATGAAAAGAGGAACACCCAGCCACCCACCCAGCCACCAACCCACCCACCCACCACCACCCACCCACCCCACCCACCCACCCACCCACCCACCCACCCACCCACCCACCCACCCACCCACCCACCCACCCACCCACCCACCCACCCACCCACCCACCCACCCACCCACCCACCCACCCACCCACCCACCCACCCACCCACCCACCCACCCACCCACCCACCCACCCACCCACCCACCCACCCAGCCACCCACCCAGCCACCCACCCAGCCACCCACCCAGCCACCCAGCCACCCAGCCAGCCAGCCAGCCAGCCACCCAGCCACCCAGCCAGCCACCCAGCCAGCCAGCCAGCCACCCAGCCAGCCACCCACCCACCCAGCCACCCACCCAGCCACCCAGCCACCCAGCCACGCACCCGCTGCACGGGTGAGAGTCGGTTGCGGCGCAGCAGCATGCGCTGCTTCTGCAGCCACACGCCCAGGGGGCTCCTGGGCGCCACGTGGCAGTGGCCGTGCTGCGCCCTGAACGCCCTCAGCTCGCCCATCCGCTCCTTCCACTCGCCCATCTCCGCTCCCTGCTGCTGCTTCTGCATGGCGAGAGAGAGACAAAGGGAAGGGCCATGGGGAGGAGGAGATTACTAAAGACTAACAAAAGAGTCTCCTGATCGTTGGCTTCATCAAACGACTCTCAAAAGAGCGTTAACATAGTGAGAGAAGGTTCACAGATTGACCACAGACCTACAATTTGATGACTGATTCGTTTGAGATGTCTCATATCAAAGTAAGTCTAGCGAGAGAGGGTTGAGAGAGTGACACCGGACCTGTGACACTGGACCTGTGACACCGGACCTGTGACACCGGACCTGCAATTTAAGCTCCGATATCATCTTGAGTCGCCTCTCCAAGTCCCTCTTTGGTAGCTCCTGCACAACAAAGTGGGGACGCGGGGAGGAGGAGACGTGGAGACTTTTGAGGCGCCTCAAAAGTTATCATCTTGAGCCTCCTCTCCACGTCCCTCTTAGGTAGCTCCTGCTCCACCCAGAGGGGACGTGGAGCGGAGGAGACGTGGGGAGGAGGGGGTGTTAGGAGGATGTTGGGATGTGGGGAGGAGAAAAGGGAAAAGGAGGAAAGTGGGGGGTGTGGCAGATGCACCTGTTGCACAATTCGCGGTAGAGAGAGAGGAGGAGAGGAGCGGAGAGGAGAAGAGGAGGAAATTGCAGACATGCACCCACACATGCGCGCACACACCCACACACGCGCGCGCATGCGCACGAGCACATAAGCATGCAGACACACGCACATGCGCGCGCACCTGTGGCACCGTGCAGTCACATGCGCACGCACGCACGCACGCACCCACACACGCGCGCGCGCACGAATGCACAAGCATGCACAGACATGTGCACGCACCTGTGGCACCATGCGGTGACATGTGCACGCACCTGTGGCACCATGCAGTCGGCATGGTGAGGGTCGAAGGTGAGCGCACACGAGCACTCAAACTTGTCCTCCACCTCAAACCCACTCGGCACCCTGCCATGCCATGCCATGCCCGTCATAGTGGGCAGTGGTGGGTGGTGATGGGTGGTAATGGGTGGTGATGGGTGGTAATGTGTGGTGGTGGGTGGTGATGGAGTGCACGCACATACAATAGTGGGCAACTGCGAAGGAGACGGGATTCTAGAGTGCACTTCCAAACTAGATCTCTCACTCGAACCCACTCAATGCCCTGACATGGAAACACAGGCCCAGTACGTCCCTTCACAGTGACCCCAATCAATTCTGACCCATTGCTCCATCCAACCCACCTCTTCTACCCCCTCCCTCCCTCCCTTTCCACCTCCTCCCCAACGCCCTGGGTTGTGCCCTCCCATGTCGCCCTGGGTTGTGCCCTCCCATGTCGCCCCTCCATCATCGCCCCTCCAACTCGTCCTCCCACCTCGTGCCCCCCTCTCTGCGCCGCTCACCTGCGCCACTTGCTGCACTCCACGTCCCTGCGGGCAGTCTTGCCATCCGCGCGCACATCGCCCTCATAGTACAGAATCCCCTCGCACTGCTCCCACCGCTCCTCTGCCGACACCGGCAGGTTGCGCACCGGCTGCCAGCCCATGGGCCACTTGCTCTGGGGGGTGAGGGGAACAGCCGGGGAGGAGCGAAAGAGAACAGGAGAGAAGGACGGGAGAAGCAGGAGGAAAGGAAGGGGGAAGGAAAGGGGAAGGAGGAGAGAAGGAGCAGGGAACGATAGGAGAAGGAGTGGGACGAGGAGAAAGTGGTGGAGGGTTGGGGGAGAGTCCAAAGGAGGACTGGATGTGGTTGTATGCTTGCAATGACCTGCTCTGCTCCCACCGCTCCTCCGCTGCCACGGGCAGGTTGCGTAGCGGCTGCCAGCCCATGGGCCACTTGCTCTGGCAGAGAACACGGGGAGACGAGGAGGGGAGAGGAGGAGGAGGAGCGGGAGAGACAAGGAGGAGGGGATGTGGTTGTATGCTTGCATTGCAGCTGCTAGTCCCATCGGTCATGCATGCATGCAGCAGCCACGCAACTGCACTGGCAGCAGTGTTCGTACCTCTGCCAGGCGCTGCCTCATGGCTTCCAGCTCCGCCTGCTTCTCCTCCTCGCTCATCGCCCGCTCCTGCCCAAACACAGGCCGCTCGCTGCTCCCAGGGATGGCACGCAGGCGGGCAGGGGAAGTAGGGGGGAGGAGAGGGACGCAAAGCAGGGAGCGGAAGGAAGCAGGGCGGGGAGGGACAAGAAGAAGGGCGTAGGAAGGAGAGAAGCAGAAGCAGCAGAGATGGTCGGCTCAAGGTTGGGAGCAGCCTTGACGCCCAAATGGATGAACACTGAATTGATCAACATGGAGGGAAACGCACAGATGCGCATTCCAAAGGATGAGAACGCGAGAGTGGGTAGCGCGAGGGTAGGGAGACATTGAACGGACAGGAAAGTAGGGAGGAAGAAGGGATGGGAAGAAGGGAAGAGAAGAAGAAGCAAGGGGTGGGCAGCAGCAGCAGCAGCAGCACGTACAGTCCTTCATCATCCACACCGCGCCCATCCCTCTCCATCTTCTCCGCAACTGCCTTCTCCTCAGCCCCCTGCCACTCGCCCACCACGGCCTGGAACATGGGGCCCACGCGGATGTGCCCCTGCGCCGCCAGCCACTCGCCGCGCAGCAACCACTGCCCCCGCCCCTCCGGCCCTGACTTCAACGGCCGCATGCCCCCCCGCCTCTTCACCGCCACCCCCTCCCCCTCCCCCTCCTGCTCCCCCTCCTGCTCCTCCTGCTTCTGCTGCTGTTGCTGCCCGTTGCTCCCTGCCGCTCCCTCCTTCCCTTCCCCCCCTCCCCGTCCCCCCACTCCTGTTTCTCCTCCTCTGTCTCTACTCTCTCCTCCACCACCCTTCCCCTCTTCCCCTCCTCCCCTCCCAATCCCCCCGTTCCTCGCCCCTCCCGCCCTCCCCTCCGCATCTGCTTCCCAGTCATACTCCCACGCAAACCCTTCCCCCCCTCTTCCGCCTCCCAAGCCCCTCCCCCCCGCATCCGCGCCCACCATGTGGCGTCTGGCCCACAGCTCTTCATCCTCAAACACAACAGCGTTCCCCCGCTCCCACTGCTCCTCCGCGCACGCCTCGCACAGCCACTCGTCCCCTGCGGGGGGCTCTTCAGCGGGCGGGTTGAGGCAGCGCAGGTGGTAGCACGCATCGCAGGCGTCGCACAGCAGGCACGTGGCGTCCTCTGCTGCCTTGCACACGGAGCAGGGGGGGGGGCGGCGGGGCCACGGGGGCGGGTGGGAGGGAGGTGCTTGTGGCAGTGGCTGCTGCAGCAGTTGCGGCAGTGGCTGGGTCAGTGCTTGCATCAGATGTGCTTGCTGCAACGGTGGGTGCAGCAGCAGCAGCAGCAGCAGCAGAGGGTGTGGGCCGTGCAGGGGGAGGGGGATGGGTGCCCACCATGCCTGGGTGGGGGGCTGCTGCCTTGGCGGTTTGTTTCGTGGCTCTGACTCCCCGCAGCATGTACTTTGCCTCTAGTGCTGCCGCCTCTTGCTGCTGCAACTGCTGTCGCTGCTGCACCTTCTGCTGTTCCTTCTGCTTCTCCTCGCCCTGCTCCTTCTGCTGCTGCTCTCTTATCTCGTCTAAAACTGGAGCCCCATCACTCCCTTTCCCGCCCCTTCCCTCCCTCGCAACCACATCTATCCCTGTCACTCCCGTACTTCCATTAACCGCAGTAACCTCGGTAACCGCACTCCCTTCCGCCCCAGCCACCCCATCTATGTCCATCTCCTCGCCGATCCCACACGCCACATCCCCCACTCCCTTACTCTTCGCCTCACCATTCGCCCCCCCTTTACTTCCTCCCCCACTCGCACCGCCCTTGGTCCCTCCTCCCGCTCCCCGTCTTCCCCCAGTCCCAATCCCTATCCCTTTCTTCCCACCCAGAATACTCCCCCCAGACGCACCACCACCACCAGAACCAGCAGCAGCAGCACCCGCTCTGGCACCCCCTTGGGAGCTATCGTCCCAGCCATAGAGCCCCCACTCCCAGTACCACTGATCCATCACACACCAGGGGAATGTGCCCTTTCCATACTCTGGTTCACCTGCCCCTCCTGCTGATCCTCCGCCTGACCTCGCTCCCGACTTGGATCCGGCTCTAGACTGACTCGCACAGTGACTCCCTGCTCCTCCGCTCCCGCTCCCACTCCCACCACCACCGCCACCACATGCAGCACTGCCACTGGCAGCAGTACCGGCAGCAGCAGTGGCAGTAGCGGCGGCGGTGGCAGGAGCAGCGGCAGTGCAGTCAGGAGCAGCAGCGGGAGAGCAGATGCGGGAATTGAATTGGAGTTCAAACGGTTCATTCACCACTGCTAGCTCACCCACACACACGTCCATGTCACCTGCTCCACCTGCTCCTGCTCCACCTGCTCCTGCTCCCCCCGCTGCTCCTGCTGCTGCTCCTGCTGTTGCCACTCCTGCTCCTCCTCTCCCTCCTGCTCCTGTTCCCGAAATAGCATTCTGAGGCTTGGCGTGCGAGTGGGCGTGATTATGGGGATTTCTGTTCTTGCCTCCTCCTCCCCCCCCTGCTCCACCTGCGCCTGCCCCTTTACCAGAAATCCTGGCCATGGCCAGCACAGCACTGGCACGCATGCTCCGCCTCCTGCCCCCCAATACACTCTCCCACCCACTCCCTGCCTTCCTCCCCTCCCCCTCACTCCCACTCCCACTCCCATCACCACCACCACCACCACCAGCAGCAGCCGCTCCCAAGCCTGTGCTCTTCCGAGCACCACCACCACGTGCATGCACGCCCGTGCTACTGGAGTCGTTCTGCACAATCACATCAATGTTACCCGTCGCCCCTCGCACCACCGCCTCAACAACATCAATCTCCATCCTCTCCTCCTGCTCCCCCTGCTCCCCTCCTCTGCCCTCCTCTCTCCCCGCCTCGTGTGCACCACCATCACCGTGAGCGCCCCCTTCCATTACTGTCCGCTCCTCCTCCTCACCAGCTGCCCTTTGCAGCAACGGAGGTAGCTTCTGAGGCGATGCAGGTGCCTTCTTGGGCGTCCCAGATGATCCTTCAGGTGATTCGTCAGGTGATTCAGGCGATTCATGTGAGTCAAGCCTCACTGCCTGATCCACAGCCGCGAGCCTCTTTACCGCTTTTACTGTATCTAGCCTCCTTATCGTATTCACTTCCCCCTCCATAGCCAGTCCGTGTCCTAACAACCCAGTCGCCATGTCACTGCTGCCACTCGCAACGCCCTTATGCTCGCTCTCCATTCTCTTGTGCTGCTCCTCATCTCTCCCCTGCGCAGTCTCACGCTCGCACACCCTACGACTGTTCAGGTGGGATACGTCCCGCCATGTGCGTCCACATTGCGTCACCACATTCTAGTCTCGGAATAACTCTCGCTGCAATCAGGAATGGGAAGGTTGAATTCGCTGAAACTTAGATTACATCCAAGGAAGTAATCCGGAGGTGGGGGAGGGGAGGGGGACGAGTGGGTGGGGAAAGGGATGATAAGGAAGGAATCGGGGTCCATGAGGGCAGCAGAGGAACATGCGTTAAGAAACGAGGATGTGCAGAGTGCTTGGAAGTTGCTGAGAATAAATTGGCTGGAAAATATCAAGGCGTAATCACCCCCAACTGTCTGATTAAGCGGATCAGGCGCGAAGAGACCATGATGCACGCACACACATGAACAGACAGAGAGAAAAGAGTGGCCATTCCCGCACCTGGTGGCCGGTCTTAGCCACAGCTACTATTTGCACCTGGTGGCCTGGGACTGCTGGACAGTAATATGGCTACGAGGCGAACGCGCCGGGATGAGGACGCCTGCACACAGAGGAAACGTGAGGGATTCAAAGCGAAGGGAGAAAACAGAGGGAACCATGAACGAGCGAAGGGAAGGGAAGGGAATGGAACATGCGTTTTGTTATTTTCTGAAGCTTGAAAAGGCGAAATGCACGACGGCACGTTGCATTGCGACACAACGAGGGAACGATTCCCATAAGTGACGCTGTCGAGAGAGAGCTGCGGTACCTCTCCAGACCTTTCTCAACCGTTGTGGAACCCGTAGGAAAGCGTGACGAATGTGTCGCGTGCAGAGTGTCACGTGCTGCGTCAGCTGCCCTCTTCCTGATGCAGCGCTTCGAACAGTGATAGCTGCGTCTCAACAGAGTGGCTGCCTTGCGGAAAAGTGAATAACGGGGGGGGGGGAGGGGGGGGGTGGGTGGTCTATACTGTGGTACCGTATGTACCGTAGAGGTGTGTCCTCTGCTTGGCCAGGAAGTTGTACTAATGGGGGTGGGCTGGGGGCATTCAACCGCCCCGCCACCAAGTTCCCTCCAACAGGATGAGATGAGAGAATGTGTTTTTATCTTGGAGTTTCTTATCTACTGAATGTTATGAGTCTCCTTTTCACCACCCTTAAAGATAAACAGCCAGTGCCGGATGGGATATACCATAGTACACGCCTACTATCCAGGCGATGACTTATGCCTTTGTCAGGTGCACCCTCTTTTGTAAATTCTACGTTTTTTAAGGCTACACCACAAAATAACAATGTAACAAGGCAAAGCACGACATACTGCAAGCTTTTCATTCAACTATCCGCCCTCTTCCAACTGTGACACCATCTGTTTTATTGTTGCAACATTCCTCTCCATATCCTCTAACGAATCACTCTGCATGGGGTGCACTATAGACTCTTTGTAGCTGTCCCTGGCCTCCTCCAGCAGCACTTGCATGATCTCGCACTCCATGTTGCTCTGCAGCTTCTTGCCTGTGTACCCCCTGACGAGTTCAGGGGAAGGGATGCATAGTGGGAAGGGGGGCATAACGGGAGGGCACATACTTGATCACTTGAACTGCAGTTAGAATGCACAAGGTGAGACCTCTCAAGCACCAAGCGATTTGACAACAAAATCGTCAAGAAGAAAGAGAGGAAGTGAAAGAAAAGACAGAGCGAGAGGGGGGGGGGGGGGGGGGGGGGGGGGGGGGGGGGGGAGGAGGGAGAGAGGGGAGAGAGGAGAGAGAGAGAGAGAGAGAGAGAGAGAGAGAGAGAGAGAGAGAGAGAGAGAGAGAGAGAGAGAGAGAGAGAGGAGACAGAGAGTGCGAGCACACACAGACACGGAGGTGATCACCTGGCGCTGAGGCGGTCGTAGAGCAGCGAGTTGTCGGTCTGCAGCACGACGACGAGGTCGAACCAGCGCTCGGGGAAGAAGTCGCACGAGTGGTGCTCCACCAGCACGCCCCCTGCGCTCATGCTCTCCTCCAACTCGTCCACCACCTGCGCTCATGTTCCCCGCGCCCACGGCAGTGCAACAGGAAGGAGAAAGAAGTCCCATGAGTGGTGCTCCACCAGCACGCCCCCCGCACCCATGCTCTCCTCCAACTCGTCCACCACCTGCGCTCATGTTCCCCGCGCACAGAGTCAGAGGGGAGAGGAGGGAAGAGTGGGGGGGCGGATGGTTGCGAACAGTAACAGATCTGAGAGAGCGATGGTAGAGACAGAGGGTATGGAATGGATGGGCGGAGAGAGTTAGGGATGGGCGGAGAGGGTAGGGATGGGCGGAGAGGGCAGGGATGGGCGGAAAGGGTAGGGATGGGCGGAAGAGAGTTAGGGATGGGCGGAGAGGGTAGGGATGGGCGGAGAGGGTAGGGATGGGCGGAGAGAGTTAGGGATGGGCGGGGAGAGTTAGGGATGGGCGGAGAGAGTTAGGGATGGGCGGAGAGACTTAGGGATGGGCGGAGAGGGTAGGGATGGGCGGAGAGGGTAGGGATGGGCGAAGAGAGTTAGGGATGGGCGGAGAGGGTAGGGATGGGCGGAGAGGTAGGGATGGGCGGAGAGAGTTAGGGATGGGCGGAGAGGGTAGGGATGGGCGGAGAGGGTAGGGATGGGCGGAGAGGGTAGGGATGGGCGGAGAGAGTTAGGGATGGACGGAGAGAGTAGGGATGGGCGGGGAGAGTTAGGGATGGGCGGAGAGAGTTAGGGATGGGCGGAGAGAGTTAGGGATGGGCGGAGAGGGTAGGGATGGGCGGAGAGGGTAGGGATGGGCGAAGAGAGTTAGGGATGGGCGGAGAGGGTAGGGATGGGCGGAGAGAGTTAGGGATGGGCGGAGAGGGTAGGGATGGGCGGAGAAGGTGAGGATGGGCGGAGAGGGTGAGGATGGACTGAGAAGGTGAGGATGGACTGAGAAGGTGAGGATGAGCGGAGAGCAGGGCAGAAAGGGAGGGATGGGGAGGATGTGGGGAAGTGGTGCAGTCGGGGCCGAGGAGGTGGGGAAGGCAGAGGCTGACGGGGAAGGGGTGGGGTGCGAGGGGACAGGGGACAGGGAGGAGAGGGTAAGGCAGGGAAGGGGAACGTGTGAGCAAGGGTGGAAGCACAACTCCGTTCAATTGCTCAAACCCCGAAACCCCTGAAGCGACTCTGCTTTCACAGCGTTGCAACCCTACTCGCAATCCCACCTTCGTCGTACGGCTCATCCAGACCCAGTCCATCGCATGCTGCTCGTCGCTACCTTATCTTCGTCCAGCACGAAGCAGTCGTACTCGTCGTCCCACCCGTCGTGCAGCTCCTTCTGTCGCACAAGGTCGCCCACGTTCACGTGTCGCAGACCCGTCGCCTCCGCCACCAGCTGACTCGTCGACGTCTTTCCCGTGCCAGGTGTACCCGTTATAAGCACATTCGGCCGACGGCCACCACGTGCTCCGACAGTAGCAGGGCCAGTGGAGCCCATGGGCAGGCCCATATACCGGAGCCCGGATCGCGTGCAAACCAGCGTGCGATGTCAGTCCCGGCAGGTGCTGGCGACGAGGGTCAGATGCGCGCGGCCGCCGGGCGAGGGGACCGCAGGCGAGGCAGGGGAGGAGATGGTCGCGAGGAAGAAGCGAAGCGGGGAACCGGAGATGGATGCAGAAGAGCAGAGCGGTTCTGACAACTGCACGGTACACAACGACCCTGAATTCGGAAAAAAAAAAATTGGCAATGCGACCTAGGTTTTCTATATGAATAAGGGGTCGCGAAGTGGCCTTGTCCCAAGTGGCTCGGGGAAGCAACCGACACTGCTCACAGAGATTGAAACACGTTTTTCGCTTGGCGATGCACACATTTTCGGTGTTGGAGCCGATCTACCCCAGTGTTGCAATTGTGACGCGTCCTTAGCTTCTGCGAAAATTTATAGGGGCCAATTCTTGCGACATTTTCGCAGGTGGCGAAGGTTTCGCAGCAAACTATATTTTGCCAGACCTAAGTGACCTGATGTTCTGATTTTCAGATCTCGATGATATGAGGTCAATTGCAATAGCGAAACACATGTAGTTCCCCTTTCCGACATTTTTTTCGTTGTTATCGAGTTTACCTAAGACGGCTTCGTCTGGAGCCTTCTGTTATGACCTGCGTACGTTCCGCGAAGTGTCCAAGAAAGTAAGGTTTCGGCGGATCCTGAAGTGCTTGGTAGCCATGGCTGGCGACTTATTCGCCTGGGTGTTTAACCACGTCGTGCCATGCGTTTCGTTGAAATCCACACAAACGCGCGTCCAGTCAGCAACGAGCATCGACTTCGTGCATCTCCATGATTTCCGCGCTTCTCAAGGGCAAGGCTTTCCGCTCCTTCTGCCTTCCGTTCCGCACTCCCGCATCTCCTGCCGCCACTCCCGTAGCGCGAGTCACCCTACCAGCTTCTGTACGTTCTGAGCTATTTCCCTCCGCCCACCCGTTCGCCATGGCCGCCGTTGCCGCCGCACCTCCAGTGGCAGCAGCGGGCAGTGCGGCAGCGGGCGCGGGAGCAGCGGCGGCGGAGATTCAACAGCCGCGGAAGGCCGTGCGCAAGCTGCTGTCGCGGGAGCAGGCGGAAGGCGCGGGGGCGCGCGTCAGGCGCAGCATCGGCAGGTGGGTTATAACGCCTCGCCCTACGGGCGAAGATGGTTGGGGCTGTGGAATTCGTTTATACGGGGCGTGTCGGGCGGCGGGAGATGAGGAGCCGTGGCGGGGGACGAGCAAGCGGAGTGGGGCCAGGTGCAGCGGTGGGGAAAAGAAATTCAGAGTGGAACAGGGAGAGGAGAGTTGGAGTCGCAGTGAGAGGGAGTACGTCGCCGTTTTGCAAACGGGAAATTCAAGTTATGCCGCTGCAACGTGCAACCTTGCTTCACCGTCTTCAACTCCGTTTCCCTTCCTTCCGCCCGCTTTCCCGTGCCGTGCTTCCCTGCGGTGCGTGCGCGCGCAGGCCGGAGCTGCGGCAGCTGGACCCCTTCCTCATGCTCGACGAGTTCAAAGGTACGCGCGCCCCTGCTCCCCGCGCCCCTGCTCCCCGCGCCCCTGCTCCCCGCGCCCCTGCTCCCCCCCGCCCCCTCCTCCCACCGCCCCTGCTCCCCCCGCCCCTGCTCTGCTGCCCGTTCTCCCTTCGCTCTCTTTCCCGCGCGCCCCGGCCTCAGCGGCACGTCCCCCTTCCCCCGCTACCCCCACTGCCGCCGCCACGCCCTGACCTGCTCCATCATCCATGCGACCGTCGGTTTTATGCCACCATAGGCTCTTTTCCTCCACCATATCTCCCATCCGCCTCTCGTCCCCGCTTGCCCCCACTCCCCCTCATGCCCCCACTTTCCTCTCTGAACCCCCGCGACCCTGCGCCCCGCACCGTCCGCGTGCCTGCTGGCAGCGGAGAACGCAGCAGCAGGCTTTCCAGACCACCCCCACCGAGGCTTTGAAACCGTCTCCTACCTGATTCAGGTGGGTCTTTTATCTTATTCAGGTGGGTCGCTTATCTTCTTCAGGTGGGTCGCTTATCTTCTTCAGGTGGGTCGCTTATCTTCTTCAGGTGGGTCGTTTATCTTCTTCAGGTGGGTCGCTTATCTTCTTCAGGTGGGTCGCTTCCTGCTTCAGATGGATATGACTCACGCTGCCACCCTTCGCTTCAGAATCTTTCCACAACAGCTAAAAAGCCGACCGCCCTTCCATCGGGCGTTGGCTGTAATTCTCGTTTATACACAGTGTTTCAGAGCCGGTGTCTCATGTCCATGTCATGGCCATGCTTGCCGCTCGTGCGCGTGTGCGTGAGCAGGGGTCGTTCGTGCACGAGGATTTCAACGGCCACAAGGGGCAGCTGCACGCGGGGGACGTGCAGGTGGGTGGGTGCGTGGGTGCGTGCGTGCGTGCGTGCGTGCGTGCGTGTGCATGTGTGTGCATGTGTGTGCATGTGTGTGCATGTGTGTGCATGTGTGTGCATGTGTGTGCATGTGTGTGCATGTGTGTGCATGTGTGTGCATGTGTGTGCATGTGTGTGCATGTGTGTGCATGTGTGTGCATGTGTGTGCATGTGTGTGCATGTGTGCGTTGCGCGTGTGTGCGTTTGTGTGTTGCACAGGGCTCCGTGCCACCTGCTTGCAACCTTACACCCTTCCCTCCGCCCCGCCCCTGCTCTCTTGCCCGTGCTACTGCGCCCAATCAGTGGATGACAGCTGGCAGGGGCGTGGTGCACTCGGAGATGCCAGGAGAGGGCCCCACACACGGGCTGCAGCTCTGGGTCAACCTGGCGGCTAAAGACAAAATGTGAGCACGGGAGGGCGGGGGTTTTTGTTTGCGTGTGCCTTCTCTTCCCCTGTGTGCATCGGCTGCCTCTCATCCCATCGCGCCATGCTCAACCACCTCTCTACCACCCGCCTCTTGTGCTTCCCCCACCTTCCTGGCCCTCCGCCTGCCAGGGTGCCATCGGCCTACCAGGAGCTCAGGAACGAGGATATTTCCAAGGTATCCCTCAACGGTGTGCACGTGGCTGTCATTGCAGGGACCACCTCGCTGTGTTGTCCACCGTCCACAACCCCTTCTCCCCCCCCTTCCCCCCGCCCCAGCTCCTCCCCACTCTCCTCCCCGCGTCCCCTCTGCCAGGGTGCCGTCAGCCTACCAGGAGCTAAGAGACGCCGACATCCCCAAGGCATCGCACAGCCCCCAACTTCAACCTCTCCCCCCTCCCCCTCCCCCTCTCTCTCCCCCTCCCCCTCCCCCTCCCCCTCCCCCTCCCCCTCCCCCTCCCCCTCCCCCTCCCCCTCCCCCTCCCCCTCCCCCTCCCCCTCCCCCTCCCCCTCCCCCTCCCCCTCCCCCTCCCCCTCCCTCTCCCCCTCCCCCACCACCCCCTCCCTCCCCCTCCGCTCTGCCAGGGTGCCATCGGCCTACCAGGAGCTAAAGGACGCTGACATTCCCAAGGCATCCCTCAACGGGGTGCACGTGGCCGTCATTGCCGGCACCGCCCTCGGCGTCTCCTCCCCCGTCGTCACCCGCACACCCACCTCCTACCTCTCCTTCCGCCTCGACCCTGGCGCGCACCTCGCGCAACCGCTCCCCACCGCGTGGAACGCCTTCATCTACACGCTGTCTGGCAGCGCCAGCATCGGGGAGAGGGGGACTGAGCCCACGGGGGCGCACCACACGGTGGTGCTGGGGGCGGGGGACGGCGTGCACGTGTGGAACAACGGCGCTGAGGAGTGCCGCTTTGTGCTGATAGCGGGGCAGCCTATAGGCGAGGCGGTGGTGCAGTACGGTCCCTTTGTGATGAACACAGAAGAGGAGATCCAGCAGGCTCTCAGTGACTACCGCCGCGGGGTGAACGGCTTTGAGAAGGCCCGCACGTGGCGCTCCGTGCATGGGCGGAGTGGGTAGGGATGGGGAGGGGAAAGGAAGGGAGGTGCTTTGTAACATACCCGGTAGCTCAGTCGTTTGTAAAGGACGTTTTCTTGTGCCGTTGTTTCTATGTGCAGAGTGTACTGCTATTCTTTCTAAGGAGTAACAAGCAGTGTGTGCTACTAAGAGAATTCCCTCATGTTTGTTCACCACAGTTTTTGTGCTTAAGAATGTATTTAAGATAAGTTGGAAGGTTAAACATTCTTGTAGCCTCTTCTCATCCTGCATTCCAAGCAATAACACATGTCAAGCTTGCATCGTGGAAAACCCCACAACACAGCTACTCTCCAATCCCACTGCACATTCCACTCCCTACCAGTCCGCACGCGCGCAATGCCCGCCGCTCCCCCGCAGTCCTGCGCGCTGCTCCCCCCTCTCCTCGCCGTCGGCGCGCTCACCTCTCTCGCGCTCGCCCTCGCCGCCCTCCACTTCTCCCTCCGCCGCCGCCTCCCCCCTCCGCGCGTGCTCAAGCGCGCCGCCGCGCTCTGCCTGCTCTACACGCTCGCGCTCGCGCTCCTCTCACTCCCCGCGCCCTTTGCGCCCGCATTCAGCCCCTGCGCTGCCCCGCGCGCGGATAACAATGCGGGGGCGGCGCGAGAACTAGGGGAGAAGGACGGGGTAGGCAGAGGAAATGAGGTGGGCGGAGGGGGGTGGGCGCGCGGAGAAGAAAAATGGGTAGATGGCGCGGGAGGCGGAGGGCTGAGCAGAGGGGAGGAGGTGGAGAGAAGGAAGGCGGAGGCGGAGGGGGAAGCGACGGGGAAAGCAGGAGAGGCGAGGGCGAGAGAGGCAGGGGAAGAGCGGGAGATACTGGAGGGGGAGGTGAATGCAGGGGTGCGAGGAGAGGTGGCAGGTGCAGCAGCAGGTGATGTGGCGGTGGATACCGGCAGTGCTGCTACAACTCGCCGCACAGGTGGCAGCGCGAGCAAGGGTGGTGACAGCGCTGGTGGCGCGGAGGTAGAGGGCGCGGAGGGTGGAGCGGAGGGCGGAGAGGGCGGGGAGCGCGGAGAGGGCGCGGAGGGCAGAGAGGGCGCGGAGGGCGGAGAGGCAGTGCGGCCCACATCCGCTGGCACACACCCGCCCGCCCCTCACCCGCCCTCACCGCCCCCACACTCCACCCCCCCGCTTCTTCCTCCCTCAGTGCCCCCCTCCCTGCCGCCACCCTCCCCCTCCCTCCATCCCCCATCCCCTCCCTCCTCTCCCCCATCCCCTCCCTCCTCTCCCCCATCCCCTCCCTCCTCTCCCCCATTCTCCCCTCCTCCGCACCCCGTCCCGTCCTCACTTTTTCCGCCCTCCTCCCTCCTTCCCTCCCCCACGCTTCCCAACCCCCTCTCAACCCCGCTCTCCCCCCCATCCACCTCAACACCCCTCACCCCACACTCGTCGCCCCGCCCCGCCACCCCTGCACCGGCGCGCTTCTTCATCTACCGGCTGATCGGCAACGACATGCCGCCGCTGCAGTGCGCGCAGCAGCTGCAGCGCAACACGCTGTACGCGCTGCTGCACGAGCCCCCTTTCCTGGAGCAGGCGCGGCGCCTGTGGGTGCTGAACCACGTGGTGAACAGCACCGCGCTCGCTCACCTGGTTGAAGCCATGCGCGCCCACGGGGTCAAGGACGAGGTGTGACCTGCTGTGCTGTGTGCTTGACATGTGTGCCATGTGGTGTACCTTATCACACCGTGTGCCATGCTGTGCCATCTCACCATGCCATCATGCCACCATGCACCCAATCTCGTGCCGCCCAACCACCCTGGCATGGCACCACACGTCCCCCCCAGCAGGACATGCTCATGCGCCCGCTCAACCTCTCGCTCATCGCCACGCTCGACCGCTCCCTCTGGACCACCGCTGTCACCGGTGCGCGCCTTCCCCCCATTCCCTGCTGGTGCGCGCCTTCCCCCCATTCCCTGCTGTCACCGGTGCGCGCCTTCCCCCCATTCCCTGCCTGCCCTCCATCCCATGTGCTCACGTGTACTGAAGCATGCCGTGCGCCTCAAAGCATGCCGTGCGCCTCAAAGCATGCCGAGCGCCTCAAAGCATGCTGCGTGCTTCTCTGAACATGGCGCATGATAGCAGGTTGGATCTCTTCGTGTGTCCTTGAAAGCTGGACATGCCTGATGCACATGTCTCATTTTGGACATGCCTGATGCACATGTCTCATTTTGGACATGCCTGATGCACATGTCTCATTTTGGTACCAATGCTTTACACACCAATGCTGCTCACGCGGATCCTTTCTCCTTTTTGCCGCCATCCCGCCTCCCATACACAATCAAACCCCCCAATCCGTACCGTACCTCCCCCGCCCCGCGCTGCTCATCCCCCTCTACTCGATGTGCCTGGCCTGGTCTCCATGCCAAACGATTATGTCATGCGGAAAGGCCCTGCACCCACGGGCCATGTGCCATGCCACTGCACCCATGCCGCCATCCTCATCAACGCCCCCACTCCCCCACCCCCCCATCCCCCCCCCATGGCGTGCGTCCATCAACACCGCTCCCAGCGCAGAACGAGGCGCGCAACTTGATGTTGGAGCATGCACGCAGGGAGGGGGCGCAGTGGGTCCTCACCTTTGACGGCAACCAGTTCCTCACGGCCGAGGCGTGGCGGTTGATAGTGCAGGCGGCGGACCGGCACGAGAAGAGGGGCTTTAAGGTCTTCAAGGTGGGTTGACATTTTACATGGGGTTTGAAGGCGTTTCGTAAGACACAGGCAGGCAGGTGAGGGCAGCAGGCAGCGGGTGAGTGAATCATAATCTACCAGCAGTCCGTACTTGAAGAGGTTCTCTTGAATTCCACCCATGCCCAACACTCATACCCCTTGCGTCTTGGCCATGCGTGCATTCACAAGCTGTGTTTGGATGCATGCATGCGTATGTATGCGCGCGCATGTGCATGCCCCATAGTCTTCCCCTTGGCGATGCAGTCATGTGCCATGCAGTCATGTGCCATGCAGTCATGTGCCGTGCAGTCATGTGCCGTCAGTCATGTGCCGTGCAGTCATGTGCTGTGCAGTCATGTGCCGTGAGTCATGTGCCGTGCAGTCATGTGCCGTGCAGTCATGTGCCGTGCAGTCATGTGCCGTGCAGTCATGTGCCATGCAGTCATGTGCCATGCAGTGTGTGCGTATCTGCCCCCCCCGACCATGTACCCAAGCACCATCCGTGGTGCCCCACGCACTGCGCCCACCCCCCCCACTTCAGGTACCCATGTACAGGGTGCACCGGGAGCAGTCGCCCACATGGCTCAACGCCTCCTCGCGCTTCATCAATCTGCGTCGCTTCGCCCCCCACCTGCACGAGAGCCAACTCGCCTTCCGTGCCGATGCACCCTACCGCTACCAGCCGGGTGGGTGTGCCATGCTGCATGCCCTGTGCTCCTGTGCTGTTCCTGATACTTGACGCTCAACCGGTCAACTACCACACCTGTGCTCTCCCGTTGCCCCTCTCCCACTCCGTGCGGCCGTGGTCCTTTTGACAGCATTCACTTGAGTCACGCTCGTTTAAGCCCCCCTCCTTTGTGTGTGACACGCGGCAGGCATGGCGTACAGGCAGGACAACAAGTTGGAGGTGCTTGGGTTAGAGTCAGTCGAGTAATTGCTGTATTTTCCCTCATCCTCATCCTCATCCTCATTCCACCTGTGTCCCTGCGGCTCTCCCTGCCCGGCAGGCATGGCGTACGGGCAGGACAACAAGATGGAGCTGCTCACACGTGTGTGCGGGTCCGGCAAGTTCCGGAAGAAGCACTTCCGGCTGTGGCAGCTGCAGGCAGAACAGGCGCAGCAGCAAGCCATGCTGGTGGAACAGCAGGTAGAGAAAGAGGGGCAGGAGGGGCAGGCGGGTCATGCAGGGCTGGGGAAGGAGCAGGAGCAGCAGGGGCGGGAGAGGGCAATGGGCATGGCTGAACTGCCTGAGATGAACGATGATGATGGGGGGGAGGGCGAGGGCGAGGAGGAGGAGGTGGAGGTGGACAAGGGGCGGTGTGGGTGCCACAGGGAGGTGGGGGTGGATGCGGGGTACCAGCGCGGGAAGCAGCTGGTGGCGTACGAGTGCGGCTACAGCATCCGCCTGTGGTACTTCCCATGCGCCCACGTGGACGCGGAGAAGATGTTCCTCAGGGCGCACTACAGGGCGCATCTCAGGGAGGAGGGCCGGCAGCAGCTGCACGCCTTGATTGAGCGCGCTATAGAGGGGGCTGTCAAGGGGTGGCACAATAAAACGATGCAGTAGTTGACGTTTAAAGGAAGCTCTTTCAGTATTGCAGGACCCTGAGCAGAGGACCACCCACACAAGGCCCTACACTAGTGTCGTATAAATGGGGTGTCTGTTTCTTTGGCTGGTGACTCTGCTGGTTCAAAAAGAGCTCAGGAGAGTGCATTGACTAAGCTCAAAAGAGCTTGTTATAAATGGAATGGAGTAAGCAAGCAAGCAATTGTTTACCATGACGACTATGGGCCCTTATTGGACCCTGATTTTCAGAGGATACTGTATAATCGTCTACCCTTTGTGGCATGGTACATATCAAGGGTGGCTCGCCTCGCCTCGCCACCAGTTGCAGGCCCTGAACAGACTCCCTGTACGTACCGTACTGTCACGTACCACGATTCCAACATGCTGCCGTTGCTTGGAAATGCCAGCAGGGATCGTGCAACAAGGTGGTAGGAGTGCTGCTGAGGTCCGAGAGAAGGGCTGTGGAGGTTAAGCGGCACTGCTGCATGCAGTCTTCGTCCAGGCAGCAGCAGAGAAACCACCTTGTGTCAGCCGAAGAGGCAGCTGTTGTAGCTAATTCAAGTGAGTGGGGGCGAGTAGGGAGTACACGTGCATGTGGTGCAAGAGCGTGTCGAGCAGTGGGAGGTGGTGTGCGGGTGGGAACTACCACTAGTGCGTGTGCAGCAAAAGGAGCTAGGTGGCAGTGGAAGGTAGCGGGTGTGGCAGCTAGTGGCGGTGGAAGAGGCGGCCGTGGCAGCTAGTGGCGGTGGAAGAGGCGGCCGTGGCAGCTAGTGGCGGTGGAAGAGGCGGCCGTGGCGGGCGCTGACGGCCTCACAGAGGCGGCAGGGCAGCGAGCGGAAGCCCAGCGCGTCCACATGGGCGTAGTGCCCCCACACACCGCATGTGCGCCAGGCAAACAGATCCATGTACTTCACTGCATGGGGGGGAGGCAGGGGGATGGGGAGGGCAGTGAGTGGTGCGAAGAACATGTAGCCTGTGTGGAGGGCCATGGAACATGTAGCCTGTGTGGAGGGCCATGGAACATGTAGCCTGTGTGGAGGGCCATGGAACATGTAGCCTGTGTGGAGGGCCATGGAACATGTAGCCTGTGTGGAGGGCCATGGAACATGTAGCCTGTGTGGAGGGCCATGGAACATGTAGCCTGTGTGGAGGGCCATGGAACATGTAGCCTGTGTGGAGGGCCATGGAACATGTAGCCTGTGTGGAGGGCCATGGAACATGTGGCCTGTGTGGAGGGCCATGGAACATGTAGCCTGTGTGGAGGGCCATGGAACATGTAGCCTGTGTGGAGGGCCATGGAACATGTAGCCTGTGTGGAGGGCCATGGAACATGTAGCCTGTGTGGAGGGCCATGGAACATGTAGCCTGTGTGGAGGGCCATGGAACATGTAGCCTGTGTGGAGGGCCATGGAACATGTAGCCTGTGTGGAGGGCCATGGAACATGTAGCCTGTGTGGAGGGCCATGGAACATGTAGCCTGTGTGGAGGGCCATGGAACATGTAGCCTGTGTGGAGGGCCATGGAACATGTAGCCTGTGTGGAGGGCCATGGAACATGTAGCCTGTGTGGAGGGCCATGGAACATGTAGCCTGTGTGGAGGGCCATGGAACATGTGGCCTGTGTGGAGGGCCATGGAACATGTAGCCTGTGTGGAGGGCCATGGAACGGGGGGCACATGGGCATAATGACCCCACACGCCACACGTGCGCCAGGCAAATCGATCCATGTACTTCACTGCATGGGGGTGGCGGAGAGGAGGGAGGGGAGAGGAGAGAGGAGGGGGAGAAGACAGTGAGTGCTGCAACCAAAGTGTAGCGCGTACGCCATGCCAACAGGTCTATGCCCAACAGTTAAAAATCCCCATATGGAGTTTTACACGGAAGCACATATACGCCATACATTGCACGGTAGGTTGGTCCGGTGGGGATGGTCGAGGCGCAAAGCATCAACGACCCCCATACTCCCCCCACTTTCCTCCCCACGTGCCCACAGTCCAGTCACACTCGTCATTCAGAACGAGGGAAAAAACACAACGATGACTATTCAATGGAGAAAAGAGTCACTTTTGTGCTGGAAGAGGCGAGTCTGGTCGAAGTCGAAGATAGCTCCTCCACTCCACATTGAGTTGCAAGGGGTTGGGAGTTGAGTTGTTCAGCGAAACAGGGGGTGCTGTTGTGCTCAAGCTGGTGTGCATTTGCTTGTAACTTTTTTCTTAGGACTGTCCGTGTGTATTTTGATGTATTAACCAAAACAGTGCACGTATGATTGGCACTCACAGGGGTCGAGGTGCACTCACAGGGGTCGAGGTGCACTCACAGGGGTCGAGGTGCAACTCCTGCAGGGCGGCAAGTAGCTCGGCGGGGGTGGGAAGCTTCCTCCCGTCGATGTACGAGCCGGGCGGCATGAAGTTGTCCACATCAGGTGCACCATAGTAGATGGGCACCGTGCCTTGGGGGGTGGGTGGGAGTCCAAGGGGGGGAGAAGGGAAGGGGAAGGTGGGGATGCAGGAATTAGGAGGGGATTGAGCGGAAAAGTCATGATAGGTGTAAGTGCTATATGTTGGTACATTTGTATCTAATGACAAGTACAAGCACTACTTTAATGTCATAATAGGTATAAGCGCTATATGTTGGTACTAAGTGTCAGTGCGTTACTTGAACTTAGTAAGAAGTCTAAGTGCGTTACTTACGCAAATGTTCAGTAGTATCAAGGATAAGTGCAGTACTTCAACTTATGCCAAGGCAGGTGTCATGTGCGGCTTTAAACCCACCTGCTTCAAGCGTGCGGAGAAGCTTCCAGGAAACGAAGCCCAGGAGGCGGGGGTCATCGACAACGAGTTCGAACTTGTAATTGGAGGAGAGGCAGTGCGACTTCTGTGAGTGCTGTGCGTGCGCTGCCCTGCCACGGGGAGGGACAGGGGCAGTGGGGAGGGAGGGGTATCTAAAGAAGAGAATGAGCAATGTGAAAGGATAGAGAGTTAATCTTGGTGAGCTCGATTCAGTGTGAGTTCAAGCTCCTTTGATTGAATGACCAGCACAGTACCGGTGGGCGGCGTCCCCCAAAGGTTCAAGTCGCAGGGGTTTGGGTTTGGCCCAGTTACCAGGCCGGACATGCAAGGTCTGCAGCTTAGTAATACGCACTGAGTGGTCCAGGCGAAGAAGAGCACAAGATCCCAGGCGACTGACGTGGAGGGGCAGTGCACTGACGTGGAGGGGCAGTGACTGACGTGGAGGGGCAGTGCACTGACGTGGAGGGGCAGTGACTGACGTGGAGGGGCAGTGCACTGACGTGGAGGGGCAGTGACTGACGTGGAGGGGCAGTGCACTGACGTGGAGGGGCAGTGACTGACGTGGAGGGGCAGTGCACTGACGTGGAGGGGCAGTGACTGACGTGGAGGGGCAGTGCACTGACGTGGAGGGGCAGTGACTGACGTGGAGGGGCAGTGCACTGACGTGGAGGGGCAGTGACTGACGTGGAGGGGCAGTGCACTGACGTGGAGGGGCAGTGACTGACGTGGAGGGGCAGTGCACTGACGTGGAGGGGCAGTGCACTGACGTGGAGGGGCAGTGCACTGACGTGGAGGGGCAGTGACTGACGTGGAGGGGCAGTGCACTGACGTGGAGGGGCAGTGACTGACGTGGAGGGGCAGTGCACTGACGTGGAGGGGCAGTGACTGACGTGGAGGGGCAGTGCACTGACGTGGAGGGGCAGTGACTGACGTGGAGGGGCAGTGCACTGACGTGGAGGGGCAGTGACTGACGTGGAGGGGCAGTGCACTGACGTGCAGGGGCAGTGACTGACGTGGAGGGGCAGTGCACTGACGTGGAGGGGCAGTGACTGACGTGGAGGGGCAGTGCACTGACGTGCAGGGGCAGTGACTGACGTGGAGGGGCAGTGCACTGACGTGGAGGGGCAGTGACTGACGTGGAGGGGCAGTGCACTGACGTGGAGGGGCAGTGACTGACGTGGAGGGGCAGTGCACTGACGTGCAGGGGCAGTGACTGACGTGGAGGGGCAGTGCACTGACGTGGAGGGGCAGTGACTGACGTGGAGGGGCAGTGCACTGACGTGCAGGGGCAGTGACTGACGTGGAGGGGCAGTGCACTGACGTGGAGGGGCAGTGCACTGACGTGGAGGGGCAGTGCACTGACGTGGAGGGGCAGGGGTCATTGAACAGCAAGTCCTTATTGGAATCAGTTGGTTTCGAAGTGCAGCAAGCCTACGAAGAGAGTACGAACGTGGAGGGGCAGCAAGCATACTAAGAGATTACGAACGTGGAGGGGCAGGTGTCATTGAAGAGCACGTCCTCGTTGGAGTTGTTGAAATTGTTGCCGCACTGCCCAAAGCTGTGCGTCGGTATGTGCGCTGCCACCTGCCAGCACACACACACAGGGACCATTGGTGTGATTAGGATGCACGCACATGTAGAGCGGGAGGGCGCACACACACATGGAGAGACGGCTCACGGACGACCAGCAGTGCAGTGTGCATTCTGTGCCCTGCACAAGCATGCCGTGTGTCTGATAGCGAAAGAGTGGGGTGCTGAGACGCCTACCCGGTCGTGTCGGGCCGGGTATTCCCGACTGGGCAGGGTATTCCCGACTGGGTAGGGTATTCCCGACTGGGTAGGGTATTCCCGACTGGGTAGGGTATTCCCGACTGGGTAGGGTATTCCCGACTGGGTAGGGTATTCCCGACTGGGTAGGGTATTCCCGACTGGGTAGGGTATTCCCGACTGGGTAGGGTATTCCTGACTGGGTAGGGTATTCCTGACTGGGTAGGGTATTCCTGACTGGGTAGGGTATTCCTGACTGGGTAGGGTATTCCCGACTGGGTAGGGTATTCCCGACTGGGTAGGGTATTCCCGACTGGGTAGGGTATTCCCGACTGGGTAGGGTATTCCTGACTGGGTAGGGTATTCCTGACTGGGTAGGGTATTCCTGACTGGGTAGGGTATTCCTGACTGGGTAGGATATTTTCTGACTGCGTAGGGTTGACCCAATACACGATCTTTGTGTTTTAGGCCGGGTCTTTCCGACTTGGGTAGTCGGGTCAACCCGAACCAGGTTGATCCGAAACCCTTTTTTTTTAAGCACGAGCCGATCTAGAGCAGTTGGAAATTGGCGTGATCCAACTCAGAGACGTCAATTTCTGAGACGACTTAGGCAGAATCTAGTTAGTCCACTGCATAGGATGAACGAGACTCCAAGTTGCATATTACCTTTTCATCTAGAAGAACAAGCTCCTTTTCTACAACATGCAATAAGAAGAGAAATACAAGTGCGCGGCAGGTAGGCGCGCATTGCAGCCAGCGTGGCGCCCCACAGCCTTGGAGCGCACGAGTGCTGTTCACTGTGCTGGAGGGCACACACACACAGGGAGAGAGGGCTCACTGTGTGCCTGGCACCGCTCTGCACCGTAGTGCATACCTGTGTGCCTGGAGCGATGAGCGTGGGATCCTGGCAGTCGTCCTCGTGCCAATACACCAACGTGTCCTGAGAGGGAGGGAGGGAGGGAGGGAGGGAGGGAGGGAGGGAGGGAGGGAGGGAGGGAGGGAGGGAGGGAGGGAGGGAGGGAGGGAGGGAGGGAGGGAGGGAGGGAGGGAGGGAGGGAGGGAGGGAGGGAGGGCGGGAGGGAGGGAGGGCGGGAGGGAGGGAGGGCGGGAGGGAGGGAGGGCGGGAGGGAGGGAGGGAGGGAGGGCGGGAGGGAGGGAGGGAGGGAGGGAGGGAGGGAGGGAGGGCGGGAGGGAGGGAGGGCGGGAGGGAGGGAGGGCGGGAGGGAGGGAGGGAGGGAGGGAGGGCGGGAGGGCCCATGCTTGCACTGAGGGAGGTGGCACCACGAGCAGCCAGCACAGCAGGGGGGCTGGTGCACAGCAGGGGGGCTGGTGCACAGCAGGGGGGCTGGTACAGCTTATGGCGATGGAAATGAGGATGGGAGGATTGGGGATGGGAATGGGAATGGGAATGGGAATGGGAATGGGAATTGGAATGGGAATTGGAATGGGAATTGGAATGGGAATTGGATCGGGAGTTAGCGTGTGAGTGATAGAGGGTGAAGGTGGAGAGGAAGAGTCAGTTGCAGGTAATCACACCAGTCACTCACAGGGCAGCTTGGCAGCACCAACCAACTGACCAACCGACCACACGCATGCCAGCAAGCAAGCGAGAGAGGGATTGGCACCTGGAACTTGAGAGGTAGACAAAAGCTACCCCCTCTCCCCCTCCCCCACAGGCACCTGGAACTTGAGAGGCACCTGGAACTTGAGGGGCACCTGGAACTTGAGAGGCACCTGGAACTTGAGGGGCTGCAGGCCGTGCTGCCTGCCGCTGGGCATGGCGTCAGAGAAGCGCGCAAAGGTGAGCTGCACGTCCGCCCCCCGCCCCCACCACACCGCCACGTCCCCCTCCTCCGCCCTGCCGCCCCCCGCCGCCCCCGCCGCCCGCCCCATGTCCAGGTAGACCTGCAGCGGGTCGCCCACCTGGCAGGGGGGGGGCGGGGGAGGGAGGGGAGGATGACATGGTTGGATTGAGAGGACAGCAGACCGCCCCATGTCCAGGTAGACCTGCAGCGGGTCGCCCACCTGGCAGGGGAAGGGGGGAGAGGGTTGACGTGGTTGGGAGGAGAGGCGTGCAGAGGGAATGGTATTAGAGGGAATGGTATTAGAGGGAATGGTATTAGAGGGCAAGTGGCAGCAGGGAGTGCCATGAGAGGGAATGGTATGAGAGGGCAAGTGGCAGCAGGGAGTGCCATGAGAGGGAATGGTATTAGAGGGCAAGTGGCAGCAGGGAGTGCCATGAGAGGGAATGGTATTAGAGGGCAAGCGGCAGCAGGGAGTGCCATGAGAGGGAATGGTATTAGAGGGCAAGTGGCAGCAGGGAGTGCCATGAGAGGGAATGGTATTAGAGGGCAAGTGGCAGCAGGGAGTGCCATGAGAGGGAACGGTATTAGAGGGCAAGTGGCAGCAGGGAGTGCCATGAGAGGGAATGGTATTAGAGGGCAAGTGGCAGCAGGGAGTGCCATGAGAGGGAATGGTATTAGAGGGCAAGTGGCAGCAGGGAGTGCCATGAGAGGGAATGGTATTAGAGGGCAAGAGGAAGCAGGGAGTGCCATGAGAGGAAATGGTATTAGAGGGCAAGTGGCAGCAGGGAGTGCCATGAGAGGGAATGGTATTAGAGGGCAAGTGGCAGCAGGGAGTGCCATGAGAGGGAATGGTATTAGAGGGCAAGTGGCAGCAGGGAGTGCCATGAGAGGGAATGGTATTAGAGGGCAAGTGGCAGCAGGGAGTGCCATGAGAGGGAATGGTATTAGAGGGCAAGTGGCAGCAGGGAGTGCCATGAGAGGGAATGGTATTAGAGGGCAAGTGGCAGCAGGGAGTGCCATGAGAGGGAATGGTATTAGAGGGCAAGTGGCAGCAGGGAGTGCCATGAGAGGGAATGGTATTAGAGGGCAAGTGGCAGCAGGGAGTGCCATGAGAGGGAATGGTATTAGAGGGCAAGTGGCAGCAGGGAGTGCCATGAGAGGGAATGGTATTAGAGGGCAAGTGGCAGCAGGGAGTGCCATGAGAGGGAATGGTATTAGAGGGCAAGTGGCAGCAGGGAGTGCCATGAGACCAGCCGGGTGCAGCAGGGTGGTGAGGTGGAGTACGTGCAGAGAAGGAGAGAGGTTGAGGGCAAGGCGAATGAAGGAGAGTGGCAGGCAGGATGCAGGTGTGGAAGCACGGCAGGATGCAGGTGTGGAAGCACGGCAGGATGCAGGCGTGGAAGCACGGCAGGATGCAGGTGTGGAAGCACGGCAGGATGCAGGTGTGGAAGCACGGCAGGATGCAGGTGTGGAAGCACGGCAGGATGCAGGCGTGGAAGCACGGCAGGATGCAGGTGTGGAAGCACGGCAGGATGCAGGTGTGGAAGCACGGCAGGATGCAGGTGTGGAAGCACGGCAGGATGCAGGCGTGGAAGCACGGCAGGATGCAGGTGTGGAAGCATGGCAGGATGCAGGTGTGGAAGCACGGCAGGATGCAGGTGTGGAAGCACGGCAGGATGCAGGCGTGGAAGCACGGCAGGATGCAGGTGTGGAAGCACGGCAGGATGCAGGTGTGGAAGCACGGCAGGATGCAGGTTTGGAAGCACGGCAGGATGCAGGTGTGGAAGCACGGCAGGATGCAGGTGTGGAAGCACGGCAGGATGCAGGTGTGGAAGCACGGCAGGATGCAGGTGTGGAAGCACGGCAGGATGCAGGTGTGGAAGCACGGCAGGATGCAGGTGTGGAAGCACGGCAGGATGCAGGTGTGGCAGCACGGCAGGATGCAGGTGTGGAAGCACGGCAGGATGCAGGTGTGGAAGCACGGCAGGATGCAGGTGTGGAAGCACGGCAGGATGCAGGTGTGGCAGCACGGCAGGATGCAGGTGTGGAAGCACGGCAGGATGCAGGTGTGGAAGCACTGCTTCCACGGCCCTGCCCACCCACCCCCCTTTCCCCCTCCTGCTCCCCCCCCCTCTGCTGCACTCACGTTTGCTTTCGCTACTTCGCTTCTCCCCCCGTTGCTGCTCCCCCTTCTGTGCTGCGCTCACCTGCCGGCCCAGCGGGGGGGTGTTGGGGGCGACATGGAGAGTGGCGTCCGCATGCGATGCCATGGGCTCACTGAACGTTATCTGGACAGAGGCGAGGCGTGGTGTGAAAGGAAGCAGGTGGTGAGGGCGAGGAGAGGGAGCACATGTCAGAGCAACCATGCTGTATCTCCCCTGCCTGTATCCATCAAGGACCATTCGAGGGAGAGACAAGGAAAGGGGGGGAGGGAGAAGAGGCGCCACAAGGTGACTGCTTACTGCGAATGTCATTCAGTGTACCTGGCATGTCGTTTAGTGTACCTGGCATGTCGTTTAGTGTACCTGGCATGTCGTTTAGTGTACCTGGCATGTCGTTTAGTGTACCTGGCATGTCGTTTAGTGTACCTGGCATGTCGTTTAGTGTACCTGGCATGTCGTTTAGTGTACCTGGCATGTCGTTTAGTGTACCTGGCATGTCGTTTAGTGTACCTGGCATGTCGTTTAGTGTACCTGGCATGTCGTTTAGTGCACCTGGCATGTCGTTTAGTGTACCTGACATGTCATTTAGTGTACCTGGCATGTCATTTAGTGTACTTTAGTGTACCTGGCATGTCATTTAGTGTACTTTAGTGTACCTGGCATGTCATTTAGTGTACTTTAGTGTACCTGGCATGTCATTTAGTGTACTTTAGTGTACCTGGCGTGTCATTTAGTGTACTTTAGTGTACCTGGCATGTCATTTAGTGTACTTTAGTGTACCTGGCATGTCATTTAGTGTACTTTAGTGTACCTGGCATGTCATTTAGTGTACCTGGCATGTTATTTAGTGTACCTGGCATGTCGTTAGTGTACCTGGCATGTCGTTTAGTGTACCTGGCATGTCGTTTAGTGTACCTGGCATGTCGTTTAGTGTACCTGGCATGTCGTTTAGTGCACCTGGCATGTCGTTTAGTGTACCTGGCATGTCATTTAGTGTACCTGGCATGTAATTTAGTGTACTTTAGTGTACCTGGCATGTCATTTAGTGTACCTGGCATGTCATTTATTGTACCTGGCATGTCATTTAGTGTACCTGGCATGTCATTTATTGTACCTGACATGTCATTTAGTGTACCTGGCATGTCATTTATTGTACCTGGCATGTCATTTATTGTACCTGGCATGTCATTTATTGTACCTGGCATGTCATTTATTGTACCTGGCATGTCATTCGGCACCTCGGGCAGAAATAATATCCCTCAATGCTGCCCGCATCGAACCATGAGGAATTGGTGGGGACAACGAAGACGGTGACGTGGCGCAATCTCATTCGGTTGCACGATGGCTCGGTGGGGTCCTGATGGGCGTGCAAGGAGAGAGGAGACTGGGGTTGACTTATGAAGGCCAGGGTTGACTTATGAAGGCCAGGGTTGACTTATGAAGGCCAGGGTTGACTTATGAAGGCCAGGGTTGACTTATGAAGGCCAGGGTTGACTTATGAAGGCCAGGGTTGACTTATGAAAGCCAGGGTTGACTTATGAAGGCCAGGGTTGACTTATGAAGGCCAGGGTTGACTTATGAAGGCCAGGGTTGACTTATGAAGGCCAGGGTTGACTTATGAAGGCCAGGGTTGACTTATGAAGGCCAGGGTTGACTTATGAAGGCCAGGGTTGACTTATGAAGGCCAGGGTTGACTTATGAAGGCCAGGGTTGACTTATGAAGGCCAGGGTTGACTTATGAAGGCCAGGGTTGACTTATGAAGGCCAGGGTTGACTTATGAAGGCCAGGGTTGACTTATGAAGGCCAGGGTTGACTTATGAAGGCCAGGGTTGACTTATGAAGGCCAGGGTTGACTAATGAAGGCCAGGGTTGACTTATGAAGGCCAGGGTTGACTTATGAAGGCCAGGGTTATGAAGGCGAGTTGGCTTATGAAAGCCGTGGTTGACTCATGGAAGGCCAGAGCTGACTTATTAAGGCCAATGCAAGTGAACCAAGAGAGGGATGGGGATGGGTATAAGACGTGCGTTGCTGAAAAAGGGGCGTGCCTGCAGCGAGGGGGGGGAGGGCGTGCCTGCATGGATGGGGGAGGGAGGGAGGGCGTGCCTGCAGCGAGGGGGGAGGGAGGGAGGGCGTGCCTGCAGCGAGGGGGGAGGGAGGGAGGGCGCGCCTGCAGCGAGGGGGGAGGGAGGGAGGGCGTGCCTGCAGGGAGGGGTTGGGCGGCCAAGCGAGGGGGTCTCTGAAGCGGTTGATGAGGTGGCGGTGGCGTGCGTGGAACGATGCACACCCCACATGGCGCTCCCACAGCCTGGTGGCCGTGCGTGGGACATGGGGGCATGGGGACAGGGGGACATGGTGGCATGGGGGCATGGCGGCAAGCGGGCATGGGGGCATGGGGGCATGGGGGCATGGGGGCATGGGGGCATGGTGGCATGGGGGCATGGGGGCATGGGATCAAGGGGGCATGGGGGCATGGGCGCATCTGGGCGTGGGGGCATGGGGTACGGGGATGGGGGTGAGGGTATGGAGTAGGGGCATGGGGGGTGCACAAGAGATGGCATCATCCTCTCCTTCCGCAAACCCTCATCCCTCAACCCCTTACTTCCTCACCTCACCCCCTCAGTCCCTCTATCGCTCATCCACTCATTTCCTCATCTCCTCACTCCTCATCCCCACTTCCTTCCGTCCCCCTGAACCGCACTACACCGCTTTCTCGCATCTCACATCACTCTGCGCCTGTCTTTCCTCCCGCTCCGCCACACCTTTACCGCTCACTCCCGCGCGCACCTGGCGGCGGCCTGCACGTCGAATTTGCCGTCCGTCTGCGTCTCGTTGAACAGCCCACGCCCGAAGCCCTCGTCGCGCCGCGCCGCGTCGCCGTCGGGGCGCCCGAAGTACGTCTCGGCGTCGATCTCGAGGTCCGTGGGGACCAGCGTCGCCGCCACAATCAGTAAACACAGTAACGCTGCGAAGGCTGCGAAATGTAACGGTCGTTTTCGCGGATGGATGGCGGTGATTGACGAGCGAATGCAGTCGAGTATGTCGGAGAAGAGAACGTGGAAATCTGACACGTGGTTGCGGCTGGTTGGTTCGAGGTCGCCCGTAATGGGACGCGGCTTGTGACGCACCTCCATTGGGCCGAACGTTTACTACCGGCACGCGTGATTAGCACTACAGTTACACGTATACACTAAACCAGTTGGAGTGATACTAGCCACAGGGCCACACTAACAAGTAACTCGACGGGAGAGCATGACTGGCCTGGGTGCGACGGTCAACAGAGCACAATATCGTGGGGAGCGAAGCGCGGCTTGGAGGCAGGAGTCGCGCGAGAGGTGTCGTGTCGACTCGTGGGGCGTGGCATAGGGAGTGGGGAGATGAGAAACGGCTGGGGGAGGAATGCTGGACGATGTGTAGACTGATAGGAAAGATTTTCGGATTACCTTACTGCGCAACTGCGTTACCACGTATATCACTGTTCACGGCCTCAACCTTTCTTCGCCCGTACATCTGACGAAGGAACGGATTAGGGGCTGCGATAAAAGCGGGACTCGGGGATGTCGCTGCCCGTGCTGACTCGCAGAAGGGAAGGGCGAAGTAGAAACTGGTAAGAGCGCGTAGGTAATCATTTTGCAGAGCTGGTACAGACAAGGGACGGTACGGCATTCATGTGGTAGTGGATGTCGCCAAAAATCGTTGGCCAGTTCGTCAGGGTTTATTTGACGTCGTACGGATCGCATTGCGTCACGAGTCGCACGGGTCCGTACATTACCGTACGCGCCCTACGGTTGGCCTCTCGTGGTTGCCAAAGAAACCAACACGAACATCTGTTTTCACGATATTCTCGACATAGTAGCGAAATATGTTACGTCTCCAACCCTAGGCGTTCGCAAGCCTTCGTGAACATGTGTGAAGGATGGCTTCAGCGATGAAGACCAGGGCTCCCATGAGACCGGATTCTCAAGTTGGGACACCATCGAAGTCTGCCCACCATCGCAACTTTTCCGATGCTGATGGTGTCCATGTGGGGCAGGACCCCATTTGGACACCAAGCCTTATTTTGGCGGGCGACAGAGGTCGCCCGGTTCGCATGACAGGTGTACAGTCAAATCCACTTCGCCTCCAATAGAATCCTCCCAAGAAATCGCACACTGAAGGTGCAATAAAATTCGTAAACCAATTAACTAATGGCCATGCCTGACGGTCGCGCCAGTCAAGATCTTCCTACAGCAACTACCACGTAACCAGGCTTTCCGACAGCACAACCCCACAAACCACCAATCGTGGCACGATCAATGACGTCGTACACTGACGTGCAGGCAGAGAAATACGAACATGGCCGTTTGGGCCGAAGTCGAACCGCGTGGGCAAATAATGAAATGTGATTTTATTTTAAATTCAACATTTCAAGCCGCGTGGGGAGACTTCGGATGGTGGGTAACTTTAGAATGCGGCTGGAATCTAGAAAATCATGTGCGTTCGATTTGATTTGCGGCGGTGCTCTACTGTCTGGATTCGTCTGTGTGGTGCCGAACGTATCAACAGCCTGTGCTAGCTCCGAGTTCTCCTCCTCTTCCGCCGATTCCGTGGATTCCCAGAACCTATCACAGGCCCCGTCGTTTCGGGATTGTATTAAATATGTGGCTCCCGTTCCTTCTTGAGAAAACTTCCGACCAATGGGGTTCAGTCGTTGAGATATCATATTTCTTCCAATCTTAGCGGCCCTCACGATGACGTACGAGTCACAACCATGTCACCCGAGTCAATTTGCCTGCCTTTGGATGTCGTACTGTACACGTCACGCACGAGGAAGGAGTGCAAAGCAACGCCTTGGTGAATGCACGATTCGTTGTGGATGGCCTTTCCTCCCCGACCGCGGTGTCAGCCGTCTTTCCTGTGCAGAATCGGGCTGACAAAAAATACGGCACATGAATAGCGTTTATCTTCAGCTCCAACTAGGCGCGATCATGAGTCTACACTGTTATATTGTCGCTGTTGCTTCAGAAGTCCCACATCCAGGGCCGTTAGTCCTAGCAAAACTCTGTCATTGTCATTGTCCCTATCTTGCGGCCTATCAAACAGGTTCGCATTGAGACGAGGTCGTTTTAGAACGTTTAGTAGATAAATTCCTACGTTTCGCCTCTAATCTGAGCATCAGGTCGTTGAGTCAACGACTTTTCAATAGCAGCGCAAATCAGCAGCCATGACGACATTTCGACATGGCTTTCTCCTCGCGGTTCTGCTGCTGCTCGTCGTCAGTGTTCTCCCACCCACGATAAACGCCGCACGACTGATTCCGGCGCCGTCTGCTTGCAGGTGTGTTTTCAAAGTGACAACTTGTCTTTTCGCATCTCTCAAAAATCAACCCTCCGGCTCCCTTCTTCCACCAAACCCCTTCCCTCTCTCCAACCCTCCGCTCACTTTCCCTCCCCGTCCTTCCACAAGAAATCCAATCGATTGTTCCTCTCCTCTCCCAACGTCACAGCCGGTCCCTCTCCTCTTCTATCACCTCCCGACTTCTCCCCATGGGTCCTCAAGTCGCATTCCTTATCCTTTTTCTCTTCGCCGTTTTCGTGAATGTTCGCAGCAAGCTCCGTTGGCCCGAGGTGGTGGGGATGACGGGAACCAAGGCTCGCGATTACATTCTTGCCTCGGAGCCGCAGTGTCGCTGGGACGTGAAACTCGTCCCTGCCAACGGATACACCACTGGCGAATGTCGCCGAAACCGAATCCTAGTTTTTCTCGACAATCGTGGGCGTGTCCGGATGGTGCCAGTAACATGCGTTAAGCCTCCACAAAGATAACTCCCAGTACCTCTGTTCTGAGAAGTGCCTCACTCGCAGTGAAGGCACAGTCACTGTTAGGGATGTAAGTGGCTGGTTGACGACGAGCTGAAGCCAACATTCTTAGTGGCCCAAGTGAAGTGAACCCAACCATTCGCCTCATTTGTACGATGTGATTGTATGCACTCTGTGCAGTAACGTTGTGTATGGCCATTTGCCAAACATGGAGCATATCCCTGCATTAGCATTGTTATTTCACTTTGGGATGGTGGTTTCCACGTTTGTCGCACAAATGCCATGATGTAAAATTAGCACGTAGTTCAGGGAAGCCAGCATATCATATCATGCCGTAGGGCTACAATGACTTCGTGAAAGTAACCTTGCCCTGCCAACGCCGCCAGCGGTGCGCGTGCACATGCAGCACACAGCGGTCCAGTACAGCTGCCCCGTCAGCACACAGCGGTCCAGTACAGCTGCCCCGTCAGCACACAGCGGTCCAGTACAGCTGTCCTGTTGCCACATACTAGGTCCACGAGAGTGTGCCCTGTGGGTTCGGGAGGGGGAAAGGGGGCGGAGGGTGAGTTGAGGAGAAAGTGGGTGGGGATGAGAGATGATTTATTCTGACAGTGTCACCTCGTGCCGCACAGTGGGCAGATGGGGTGTGAGTGGGCAGACGGGGTGTGAGTGAGAAAACGGACTGAGTCAGCAGACGGGATGCGAGTGGGCAGACGGGATGCGAGTGGGAAGACGGGGTGTGAGTGAGCAAATGGGGTGTGAGTGAGCAAATGGGGTGTGAGTGAGCAAATGGGGTGTGAGTGGACATGCTGTGGTGCGCTCAGCCATCGCAGGGCTCCTCCATCCATGCTAACCCATCACACCCCACTGCAACGTACCGCACCACGGGTGAAGCACTGCGCAGTCACGTGCAAGAGTGGCGGCGGTGTACAGGTGGACGCACGTGGCGCGTGGAGGAGACGAGTCCATCTGCATGCCTCGCCTCCTTCCTGCATCCTTATCCCGCATCTGCCACTCACACACGCCACTCACACACGCCACTCGCACACGCCATTCGCACCTGCTGCGCTCACCTGCTCCGTGCATTCGAGCGCAAGCCTGCATTACGCCACGTCTTGAGCAGCCGTGATGCATGTCCCCTCCCCCGCCCTATCTCTCCCCCGCCTGGTCTCCCCTGTCCGCGCACCCATCTGCAGCCGCATCGCCCGTGAGAGCGCCACTGCTGCTGCGCGCTTGTCTTAGCTTCCCGTGCCGTGGCCGCTCGCGTATTGGCTTCCCGCGCGCTCACCCGCAACCTTCCCGTCCGCTGCGCCACTACCTTTCGCTGCGTGCGCGTTCCTGACAGCCCGACCGCGCCCCTCCCAACCGCGGCGGAGTCGTTGCGGCGGCGGACATAGCGCGGGGAAGAGCGGACCTGCAGACTAGGAGAGTTGTTGAGTGGGGGACGACCACGCGACGAAGCCGCAGCGTCGAGATCTCTCGGAGCGAGGCAGCGATGATGACGAATGAC